AGATCAGGTGGGTTTTCTTCCTGGCAGACAGATGAAAGATAACATAAGGAATATAGTTAATATAATTGAATATCTGACAGCCAGGAATGAAAAACAAGCAATGTTAATTTTTGTGGATGCGGAAAAGGCCTTTGATAATATATCTTGGGAATTTATGTTAAAAATTTGGATCTTATGGATATAGGTCAATTCTTTTTAAATGGTTTAAGAGCTATATATACTGAACAAAAAGCAAAATTGATTGTAAATAATATAACAACAGAAAATATAGTAATTGCTAAAGGCACAAGACAAGGATGTCCCCTTTCTCCATTATTGTTCATATCGGTACTGGAAGTACTTCTAAGGTCGATAAGGAACAATGAGCGGATAAAGGGTGTTACAGTCGGTCGGAATGAATATAAGGTAAAAGCCTTTGCCGATGACTTGGTATTAACAATTGAAGAACCATCAATAAGTATCAATGAAGTAATAGAGGAGATAGAACAGTTCGGTCAAGTGGCGGGTTTTAAATTGAATAAAAAGAAAACTAAGATAATGGTTAAAAATATGGAACAAGAATTGGTTGAAACATTACAACAACAAATAGGTATAGATGTGGTTAAAAAAGTTAAATACTTGGGAATTTGGTTAACCCTGAAAAATATTGATCTATTTCAAAATAATTATACACCAACGTGGAATAGTGTTAAAAGGGATCTAGAGGTATGGGGAAAGTTGAAATTATCATTTTGGGGAAGGATTTCAGCAATAAAGATGCACGTGCTACCAAAGATGTTATTTTTGTTTCAGACAATTCCAATAATCAAAGGGGCAACAATATTTAAAGAGTGGCAGAAGATAATTTCAAGATATATCTGGCAGGGTAAGAAGCCGAGAATACAATATAAGTTATTAACAGATGCTAAAGAAAGAGGAGGCTTCGCCCTGCTGGACTTGAAATTATATTATGAAGCATCGTGCGTCTGTTGGTTGAAGAGTGGATGAAATTGGAAAATACAGAATTGTTAGATCTAGAAGGTTATGATAATAGATTTGGTTGGCATGCATATTTATGGTATGATAAGAAAAAAGTCCATAAAGGATTCGAAAACCACTTATTTCGAAGATCTCTTATTGAAATTTGGGATAGGTATAAAAATCTATTGGAACAAAAAACACCACACTGGTTGTCTCCATTAGAAATGATGTGTGTAAAAAAGGTCAATATGAGTGGGAAGTGGACAACATATGGGAAATTAGTAATTAGAGAAGGAGGAAAATGGAAATGGAAACCATATGAGGAAGTGAAAGAGAATGTTAATGACTGGTTACATTATTATCAGGTTAATGAAATATTTAAACAAGATATTAAAGAAAATGGTTTCTGTGAAAAAGAATTGAAGTTTCAACAAGAAATATTAAATAATGATTTTAAAATTCTGTCCAAAATGTACAAATTACTGCTTGAATGGCACTTGAAAGATGATGAGGTAAAATCAGTGATGATTCATTGGGCAAAAGACTTCGGATATAATATACAGTTGAGTGATTGGGTCAAATTATGGAAAGAGGGTTTGAGATTTACCGCATGTAATGCAATAAAAGAAAATGTGATGAAGATGATGTATAGATGGTACATCACACCAGTTAAGTTAGCAAAAATGCATAAAGTTAGTAATAAATGTTGGAAATGTAAAGAAAAAGAAGGTTCATTTTATCATATGTGGTGGGAATGTAAAAAGGTGAAATGCTTCTGGGAGGTGATATATAATGAGTTGAAAAAAATGTTGAAATATACTTTTGTTAAGAAACCAGAAGCACTTCTTTTAGGTATCATGGGAAATGAGATAAACAGGAAAGACTGTAAGCTTTTTTAATATGCGGTAACAGCAGCAAGAATACTACTGGCCCAAAAATGGAAGCAAGAAGAATTACCAACATTAGAAGAATGGAGGATGAAATTAATGGACTACGCAGAATTAGATAAACTAACAGGAAGGATCCAAGACCGGCGGGACCAGAGGTTCACCGAAGACTGGACTAAATTTACGGAGTATTTGTGATGACCAGATTACGTTTGTAGGTTTGCAAGAAGCTCTGTGAGGAATAATTTAAGAAATATTGTAAAAATGGAAAGGGAGAGATGATTTGTTAGAAAATGTAAAGTCAATATTAAGTTAAGAATTGCAGGAGAAGTAATTAAGACGGAGGATTATCAGAGGTGCTGAAGGAAGTCCAAACAAAGATATGTGTGTAACAATTTGTATGGTATGTCTTTAAAATTTTGTATGCTAAAAATTAATAAAATATTTTTTTATAAAAAAAAAAGACAATAGATTCGGCTGGCACGCATATTTATGGTATGGGAAAGGGAAGGTACATAAAAGTTTCTATAATCATATAATTAGGAAGTCATTAATGAGAGTATGGGAGAGATATAAAGATTTGTTAGAACAGAAGATTCCTTGGTGGCTCTCACCACATGATACTTTACTGCTCAAGCCACTCGGAAAGAAAGGAAAGTGGCTTACATATGCTGATTTGTTAAAAGATCAAGAAGGAAAATGGAAACTAAGAGATTATGAGGAAATAAAAGACCATTTTCAGAGTTGGTTACACTATCGGCAATTACATGAAATATACAAAGACGATAAGAAGAAAGGATTCAGATACACAACATCTAGATTTAAAAAAAAAGTCGTAGAAGGGAAGGTGAAGCTGCTGAAAGGTGCATATAGCATTCTGCTAGAATGGGAAACAAAAGCCGAAGAGGTGAAATCAGTTATGATTAAATGGGCACAAGATATAGGCCATAATATAATGTTTGAAGACTGGGAAAGACTGTGAAAAATTGATTTAAAATTTACAGATTGCTCTCTGCTGAAAGAAAATTATATGAAAATGATGTACAGATGGTATATAACTCCAGTGCAGATAGGAAGAATATATAAAACTGGTTCAAATATGTATTGGAAATGTAAGGAAAAAGAAGGGACTTTTTATCATATGTGGTGGGATTGTAGCAAAATTTAAAAAAATTGGGAAATGATATATAATGAGCTGAAGAAAATGTTCCATTTAACATTTGTAAAAAAACCTGAAGCATATCTGTTAGGGATTGTAGGAAAAGACCTGCCAAGGAAACTGAAAAATATCTTCATGTATGTGACAACGGCGGCAAGAGTTTTAATAGCACAAGGATGGAAGAATGAAGAAACCCCAACTAAAGAACTATGGCAAGAGAAACTGATGGACTATGTGGAACTGGCGTAATTGACATACAAACTCCATGAGAAGGACAACTGTGACTTTAAAGAAGAATGGGAACCTTTTACAAAGTATTTAAAGAAACAACAAACTGAACTGGACTCCTTGGCAGGCTTTGAATAAACATTCACAAATCTTGTATTGGCAATATATAGATAGAAAAATTAAGGATATTTACAATCTTATAACATGCAGAGAATAACATGTGCTGAAAAACCAGAGAGAGGAGCTGAGGGAAGTTGGGGGGGCTGGGGGGGTTTGGGGGGAGGGGGGAAATGGGGGGCTGAAGTTGATGTATCTTTGATAAATTGTTATGTTGAAACTTTTAATAAAAACTTTTACAAAAAAAGAAGACCTAATTCCCGCCCCGCGCAAAAGGGTTGACTTTATTTTAATTCAACCAGGGAAAATGTATTGCATTAAATGAGGCAGAGATAGCAGAGTGAGCAACAAACTGAACAGGCGTGGCAATTTCTGAGCTGCATTCGTAGCATCATCTAACCAATATAGAAGTGATCAGTATGGCTTTACTCTGAACACAAGGGCTCCTTACCTGGAGAACTGAGTTGATTTGTGTAATCATAGAAGCATAGGAAGAAGCTGCCTTGTACTGAGCCAGACCACTGATTCATTCAGCTTAGTATTGTCAACACTGACAGGAACACTCACTCCAGGGTAAAGGCAGAATTTCCTAGTCCTACCTGGAGATGCCTGACTGAGAGAGAGGTTCTCTAGGGTTACAGGCAAAGAGGGTTCTTCCCATCCCTAGCTAGAGATGTTCCACCTCGGACCTTTGAGGTGGGGGGAACAAAAGAAAAGAAAAATGGAAGGAGGAAAGCCTGTGCTTTTGCGCCCCTTCCTAGGGGCTGCACTCCCAAACGCGTGGCGGGCAACTTGCAATTGGGAACTTGCTCTCGGAAAAGCCTGCCTCCGAGGCTGCGCATTGCAGAGCCCTGAACCAAGAGCAGGGGCAACCTTCGGCAAGCCTCATCTATACCTCTCTTGCCTTCCAGACCCATGGGTCCTTTGGCGCTGTGGCATACTACAAACACTGGCGGCTGATCCATTGGAACCTGTGGCTACCTGCTGCCGGGCTTCCTACTTAGAAACACCACTCGGGGTGGTCCTGGCTTTCAGCTTCCCCCTCCTTAGCCTCAGTGTTGCTGGGAGGGTGGGCACAAAACTTGAATTACACAGACCCTGCTACTGTTGGTCCCCCTGCCTTCTGCCCCACCAGCCCCACCAGGCAGCAGCCACCTATGCCTACAAAGCCTGGATGCTTTTACCCTTTCATAGAAGACTGTGTCGTGTCTTATCTTTTATGAGGGACTAAACAGGGAATTACATTTAAAACGTATTATAGAGGCTTTAGCGAGCCTGAGCAAATGCATCCACTGTAAGTTTAAAAAGGGGAATGTTACTCTGCTAAATTGTGGAACTCGTTAACACAAATTGGAAAGGATATAATCAAACAATATATCATCTCCTGCATCCCTGAACATTCCCACAAAGGGTTAGTGGCCCCAGCATTGCGTATTTTTAAAGAATTTTGTTGGATTGTGATTTTGAGTTGAGTAGTATTTTTCTGAGAGAACTTCCTGGTAACCACATGGTCCTTTGTTCCATTGTGCAGTGGGGATTAGGCAACCCCTCCCCTCCCTCAGAGTTCACAGTGACCCAAGGCAGTGAAGTTTTGCTTTGTATTTTGAGATTTTGATTTTAGAATTTTTGACAAATTTTTGAATTCTAAGATGGCTAGTGTAACTTTTGATAGTGATGCAAGGCAAGGAATGCCTATGCTGAATGAACACAATTTTGTTCCATGGAAGGAACGTTTGATAGCATTTCTAGATGCAAAAGGAGTTTTGGATGCTGTTGAAAATCTGAAGCCTACTGGCTCAAGTGAAGAGGATTTAGCAAAGATTAAGTTATGGAAGCTAAAAAATCACAATGCCAAGACTATTATTTTTAGTCAACTCCAAGAGAAGCAGCTATCAATGATAGATACTGAGAGTGATGCGTCTCAAATTTTAAAGGATTTAGAGCACATTTGCAGAGGGAGAACTGAGTCTCCAGTAAGAAATGCAAAGATCAAGGACAGTAATTATGCGTCTAGGCAATTTACAAAGTCCAGAGAAATGGCCAAGAAAGTGGTTTGCTTCAATTGCAACAAGGAAGGGCACATTGCAAAGAACTGCAAAGCTCCTAAAACAAGGAATTCCCAAACCTTTCAGCCAAAAAGGGAGAGGAAAGGGAAATCTGAATGCACCTTGCTACTGCAAGAAAGGAATTTAGCTGTCCAGAATCGTGAAAATAAACGTAGTAAGTGGATTATTGATTCTGGGGCGAGCTCACATTTTTCATTTGAAAAGGACTATTTTAATGAGATAAATGATGATGAAGGCTCTGAAATTGAGACTGCAGATGGCAACATTGTTAAAGCCAAAGGTGCAGGTTCCATGGACTTGAAATTCTATATAAACGATAAATCTACTAAAACTACAGTATCTAGAGTCTTGTATGTACCACAACTGAGCTGCAATTTACTCAGCGTGTCTACTTTGGACAGAAAAGGTTTCCAGATTACGTTTGGAAATGGAGAATGTAATGTGACTAAAAATGGTGAAGTGTTTGTTCAAGCCAAGCTAGTAAATGGTGTATATGAGATTGATCTTTCAGAGGAGCAGTCTGCAAAAGTGGCACGTTCCAGCCAGAAGGATGAGGCGGACCTGGACCTATGGCACAGAAGGCTTGGACACAGAGACACCAGCCTTATTCTGGATCTACAGAGAAAAGATCTTGTAAAAGGTCTGCAGGTAACACAAAGTAACAGAGTTCCAAGGAAGTGTATAAGCTGTGTTACTGAAAACTTTCATTTCCACGTTGCACAAAACAGAGAAGCACCAGAGTGCTTGACATTGTGCACACTGACTTATGTGGACCTATGAATGTTCCCTCACTTGGAAAGAATAGGTACATACTAATATTTCTTGATGATTTTTCAAAGTATTGTGTTGCATATTTCATCAAAGAAAAGAGTGAGACAGTGAACATGTTCCAGGACTATGTTGCCATGGTCAAGAAAAAGTTCCAAAGAGCTCCAGCCGTGTTGATGAGCGACAATGGACGTGAGTACTGTTCACGTGAAATGCAGGCTCTCCTGGCCGAGGAGGGAATCGTACATGTAACCACAATTCCCTAAACACCACAGCAGAATGCCATAGCAGAGAGAAAGTTTAGATCCATTATGGATATGACAAGATGCATGCTAAGAGATGGATCCCTGCCACAGAAGCTGTAGGGAGATGCGGCAAGCACAGCAGTTTATCTGCAGAACAGATTGCCAACGTAGGGGGCAGAGCACACACCATTTGAACTGCGGCATGGGAAGGTTCCCAATTTGTCGCACATACGTGTGTTTGGGAGTCTGTGTTACTACCACGTCCCCAAAGAACACAGACACAAGCTTGACTCCAGGGCACAAGCAGGTATCCTTGAGGTGTACGCTTCTGGAGGCACTGGATACAGAATCATGGACTTACAAACTGGTAAGACAAGTGCTCACCATGCAATTTATTTTGATGAACATGGCAAAGCTGACTCTAAGAATAGTGTTGTGGATTTTTCTGAGGAGTCTTCTGAAACCCCGGAAAGTCCTTATCTGCCTTCCAGTGATATAACCCCCCCTACAGGCGACACACCAGAAGACGCAGAGGACCAGACCCCTGGCGGCACCAGAGACGAAGAGGAGGACTCGGACGGAGACATGTCAGCATTGGAGGAGGATGAGGAAGCTGATGCGGTTGCAGAACCAGAGGCCAGACGCTCATCCAGAACCAACAGAGGTGTCCCACCATTACGGCTGTCCTACTTTGCAGGGTCGGCGTTTCCACAGGAACCTTCCACATGGGAAGAGATACAGGAGATGCCAGCTGCTGAAGCCAGTCTCTGGAAGAAGGCCACACAGGAGGAAATGGATGCACTGCATCAAAACAAGCAGGGGGAGCCCTGCTGATGCACATCAACTAGGCACTCCCCCAGGGTCACCGCTCAGGGGCGTGCCTTGGGCCCTGGCCTCCCTAGGCTTCGGACGGGGCCACGCCCCCGGAGCCCTTTACCGGACTACCATTCGCAATTGGGGGAGGTGATGGCGCTCCTCCCCCCATCCATCTACATAACAATACCCCGACCAATGCCTCACCACCACACGAGCAAAAGGTCGCCGCCAATACCCTCAAACCTGCAACCAATCCCTAATCCCCGCAGAAATGTCAGCCAGCCAAACATCGTTTCCTTCATTGGAAAGATGTACGCCATCCCCGCGGTAGAGGGTCTCCTTCCTGAATTGAATGTTGGGGTGGTCAATGACCCGTCCCCCCAGCGACACCACTCTACGAGCCACCGAGCGTTCCAGTATTTTCCTGGACTTGTTAATAGCAATAGGACATTTGCAATCTCTCCATTTGTGCCTTTCTAACAGGGAAGACCAAATTATGACTAGCTTTGGGTAAGTATTTTTCAATTCATCAAAATCATTGTAAATATTCCACATTATGTCCACGCCCTTCCTGTAAGCCAAATCGTTTTCCCCCAACTGAATGACAAGGGCATCCGGTGGACCATCTTTGGCGACTCTGGCCTTCACCGCCGGCAGAAATTCAGCCCAACGCATTCCACGCCGAGAAATCCAGGAAATTTCTATGTTCTCTGGCAATTCCAGTGCCCTTCCTTGACCTTGATTAAGAGCATGAATTCTGGCCCAGTGCACAATACTATGGCCAATGATCCAGACACGCACAGCCCCACCACCTAAAAGAAAAAGCAGAACAAGGATGGATCAGGGGGGTGTTGAATATCATCACAACGGATCACTGGACATACCCTTTAAAGGCATCTGATTTCCAACGCCCCATATCCTTTATTCTTTCGGCCGGGAGGCCTAAGTGTACCGCTGTCGTGGCTGTCCCAATCCTAAATGAATGAGCCGCGAATTCCGCAGGGGGAAAGCCGCATGCAGCAATTGCCTTGCGCATAACGCGCGTAAACTGATGCCTTGTGAGGCGGGAGCCATCTTCATGTATGAAGAAGGGGCCGGCGGCTTTTGGTCTCAAATATAGGAATCGCCTTGTATCCTTTACTGGGCAAGGCCCCTTCTTATGAGTTGCTATAAGGCGAATTAAGGCCCCTTTCCCTAACTGATCAGTTTTGGAGCTTCGGATATGGAGAACTAGGTCTGAGCGAGATAATGTCACATCCTTCAGTAAGATCCCCCGAGAAATAAGACTGGGCTGATCGTCGCACACCACCTCACCAATGCGTAAGGCAGTGAAAAAGGCGACAGAGTACGCTGCCGAAAATAGGCGTGCTTCGTACTTAGAACGGCAAACCGCCCTTAGCTTTTTATGGATTTGACTCAGGATGTCGAAGGTGATGGGTCTCCTACCATCTGTGCTGGGAGGCTGGAGCCTGCACCAGCCCTCCAGCGCCTTCCGGACTAGGAAGTTGGCGCAAGGATCAACCGAATAGAGGGCCTTACAAAAGAAAGAAATAGCTGACGACTGAATATTAAGGGTCTTAGGTGCACGGCCCATACTCCGCAAATACACTAAGTATTTCAGCACCTCTGCTTTTTTCGGGGGAGTGTCCTGAGTAAGAATGCCTAATTTATTACGGAATGCCATGAAATCTGCCCAGGCTTTCTTAAAGGATCTAAGTGTTGATGGGGCAACTGAAGCTAATACTCCCTTTAGGACTTCTCACTCCTAAGGCTCCAGAGGTGTTCCGGAAATGGTTGAGGCAATTGCTGAGCATCCGGCACCAATGAGCTGAAGCGAGCCATCTGGAAGCGAGACAAAGCATCCGCAATATTGTTATTAACTCCAGGTACAAACTTAGCCGAGAAGTAAATATTTAATTTTAGGCACCAAAGGACAAATGATCTCAGTAGAGTTGCCAGCCTCGGAGAACGCGAGGATTGCCTAGCGAGTACAGAAACCACGGCCTGGTTGTCGGTCCAGAAGCACACCCGGTGATCCTTGAACTCCTCTGCCCACAAATGCACCGCTACCACTGTTGGGAAAAACTCCAGGAAGGTAAGGTCATGTGTAATAGGTTTGCCTGCCAGGAAGAAGGCCACGGTTGCGGGCACCACTGTCCCCTGAAATAAACCCCGAACCCAAGAGAACCCGCTGCGTCTGATTGAACTTGAAAGTCAGCCTGGAGTGACAGGTTGTCCTGCCATAATGAAATGCCATTGTACATGTCCAGAAACTCCAGCCAAACCTCCAGATCAGCCTTAACTGCTTTCGATAATCGGACCCTGTGATGGGGAGAGTGTAAGCCAGCTGATAATCTCACCAAACGCCCACAGAAGGGGTGGCCCGGGGCTATAACCCGGCAGGCGAAGTTAAGGTGACCTAAGAGTGACTGGATTTGTCTGAGGGTAACCTTCCTAAGGGGCAAAAGCTGTACAACGAACTCTTTAAGTGCAGTCAATTTTTCTCTGGGTAAGCATGATGTTGGGGCGATAGTATCACGTTCAATGCCTAGGTATGTCATGCTTGTGATTGGGCCCTCTGTTTTGTCGTTCGCTAACGGCACGCCCAGCTCTTGTGCCAATGATGTAAACGCTTGGAGCAAGGCTGCGCAGTCGAGTGCATTACTGGCCACCAGAATAAAGTCATCCAAATAATGCCCCACCCCCTCCAAACCTGTCCTAAAGAGGAGGGCCCAGTCCAGGAAGGTGCTAAAGGTCTCGAAGGCTGCGCAAGCCACCAAACAACCCATGGGCATAGCCTTATCAATGAAATACGCCCCCTCAAACTTAAAACCCAGCCAACGAAAATCCTCCGGATGAACTGGAAGGAGGCGAAAGGCCGACTCAATGTCACACTTTGCTAGCATAGCTCCCCTCCCGAATTTGCGAACAAGCTTTACCGCTTGATCAAAAGAGGCATACTTAACAGAGCATAGCTCTTGTGGAATTGAATCATTAACTGAACTCCCCTTAGGATAGGAAAGGTTGTGTATCATATGGTATTCGCCAGGGCCTTCTTGGGAACAATACCTAGAGGTGAAATATGTAAACCCTCAAAAGGAGGCACCATGAAGGGGCCAGCTATTCTACCAGTGGCAATTTCCTTGTGTATTTTCTTTCTAGCCACTTCTGGCATGTCTTTTTCTGATTTCTGATTAGGTGGGTTTCCGGAGTTGGGTGTGACTGAGACAGGGATTCTGAAGCCTAAGGAAAACCCCTCCCAAAGGTACCTAGCAGCTTGCCTATTTGGGTATAAGTCAAGGAGGGCTTTTAATGGATGATGTTTAATTGGAGAGAAGGCCAGACTGAGGTTGGTGTCAATAACGGTTTCTGGCTGCGCCCTGGGAGGGACCGGGGGCACCACAGTTACCTTGGTGGAAGTGCCCCCTGCAACCCCGAAAGGGCTGCTTACCTTTGAAGCATGCTGAGGCCGGGTGGTTACCCAGACATTTCTCGCACTCGTGCAAGTACTTACAAGTTGGCCGTAAGCATGTGCCTCTTTTATATTCCCAGCATTGCCAACGCCTTTTTGGCTCGACCTTCCCAGATTTTTGAGGGTCCTTTGGCTTCTTTTGCACGTAAGGGCCAACGTGCTCCATCCAATAATTCTGATCCTGTAGATCCCATTGGGTAGTGGGCAGTAAGAAGCATTTCTGCGAAAATCTTCATCATATGTTAAGGCCGCCTCCTCCCCCACCAGGGCAAAGGCCCTTCTAACGTGAGCCATGTAGGCCACGAGATGCATACTGCGTTTGGGATAACACGCACAAACTACTGCCATGTAAACCTGAAACCTATCCAGCCAGTTCTCAAAGTTGCGTTCAGCCCGTGGCGTCCTATACTTATGCCTACCGTAAGCCCGCTTCTTTTCCCCCTTCCCCGACACTTTAGCTGGTGGTAGAAGGGTGAATATGTCTATGTAGTCCCCATTAAGGATCTTTGCCCTTTTCCTTTTGGACAAGTGGTTACCCAAAATAAAATCAGTGGAAAGGTTAGTGGATGCTTTTACGTCCTCCACCAGCGCACCTCCCTTCCATTCCAGGGACCCATTGAATGTTTTACGGTGGGAATTAGCCCTCCTCTCGTGCACCCACAAGGGGACCCCAGAAATATCTTCCCCAAGACCCCATTAAGCCTCCAGGGGGGCATCGCTATCAAAATCTGAAGAAGAAGTACCTGATTCCTCCTCGGTGTCGGAACGCTTGCTCTTCTTGGTCTTCTTTGATGTGTGTTTTTTCTTCGCCATCCTTTTTCCTCCCTGTTGTTCGGTGGCTGCTGGGGCCTGTCCTGCATTTCCGGAAGCTTCAGACTGTGGCAGGGCCTCCTCTGAGGATGAAGCTGAACTGCCTTCAGAGGGCGTATTTTGAGAGGAGGGATCCTGAAAAACACTAGGGACATATATCTCTTCCCGCTGTGGGGCAGAGCGGTTAGACCTAGTGGCAGAGGACCTACCCTTGACGGCACTGGGTGCAGACTTTTTGTTGCGGGCTGACTGTGAGTGCGTGTTGGGTCGCTTACTTGCACTGTTGCCAGGCTGCGCGCTACTCAGGCTAGAGGTGGAGGCCGAAGTACCAGGTTGCTCCAGCATGCTAGGTGGCGTGTCTGGAATACAGTCCTGAGAACTTAAAATTGGCAAAGCGGACACCGCAACCCTTGGCCTACATTGCAAATAGAAGGCTTCAAAAGCTGAGAAAAATTGAGCGAAAGCCTGTGGGTTGCAAGGCATGGCTGGCGTCTCGGGGCTACCCTGTGCGCTAAGCCCACTTCCAGTGTTAGCGGATGCGTTAGCATTACCCCTGTTAGCCATATCAAAGCAGCTATTAATTGGCCCGAGGCCCAGACAAATTGCTCTTGGAAACACTAAGCTTCCGATATATCACTAGGTGACCTAAGCACCTTATTTAACGTTAATCAGGAATGAATTATACGTCAATTAGGAATGAAATATACGGGTCACCAATTATTTATGAATTTAAATACCGTATGAATTAAATAATCTCAGTAAATGCACTTTACTAAAACGTTGTATCAACAAATGCAATGTTTGTTATATATCTAATCTATGCCAGATAAAGTATTTATGTTTTAGACTACTGTATGAATTAATTATTTTCAGTAATTGAAATTTAATGAGCCGTTGTATCAAACAAATGCAACGTGTGTAGTGTATTTAATCTATGCCGGAAAACGTATTTATGCTTCAAGATTTTGTATGAATTAAACACAGTAATCGCAATTTAATTATAAAACACTGTTTAAATAATTATTGTTTGTTTATTCCCTTCAATTAAATGTGATCTATTTTGTACTCAGTCAAAGTCAGTAGCTAATAGTGTTATATGGTCTCTAAAATTTGTTACAATGATAACAATTTCCCCCCTGCACGCTGCACTTTAAAAATCAGCCGCTTCTTCCTGAAACTCAGCACTTTGTTACCAATCCTCCAGAAACACTAAGCCTATGTCAAAAATAGCCAATGTTACAATCAGAGATTTCCAGGCATGCTGGAGAGTTCGAACTCTCTCTAATCAAGGTAGCTAAAGGGAAAGCTTGACTTAGATACAAAGTTACCTGGCTAGTTAAGACAGTAAAATACAATCCACCCGGCTGGGCAAAGGAGTGAAGCTACGGCAGTAAACGCCTAAGAAAGTAGCTCTACTCAATCCGCGGAGGGCGCTTGCCTCACCTAAGATGGCGGCCGCCCCTCACCCACGTGGTCGCACTAAAATGGCGACGGCAAGAAGCAGTAGCCCTGGCAACCCAAAAGCAGGTCTCCTTTCTTAAAGGTAAAGCAAGCGATCTAGCCCCGACGGGCGCTGGTTTAAAGGTATTTTTAAAAAAGAAAAGAAACAGTAACTTTCACGAAGCCGCTACCCCCCCCCCCACAGCCGGGCTGCGTGTAGCTGTTCAAAAGGTCCCCTTTCTTAGAATGCGCAGCGAGCGATCCAGCGATCGCCCAGAGAGGCGCTGGCTTACAGGGAATTTTAAACAGCAGCTTTCACGAAGCTGTTAGCAAGAACTCGGCTTTGCGCACAAAATCTCTATGCAGGAAAGAAGCCCAAAGCCTCCCACGAGATTAGCACGGAAAGAGAGTCAAACCTCACGGGGACGCTGCAGCGCCCCGCGTTAAAAGAGTCCCATGAGGCGAAGAGGCTACCCTGAGGCGACGAACCTGACGGGGCTTCAGCTTAAGAGAGGAACAGCCGAAGGAGGGAGGTTCATGCGGCAAAGAGCAACACTCGGGAATGGCACTTCAGCGGAGTTGCGCTGTTAGCGGCAACGGAGGAAACCTGATCGTAACTGAGTGGCTGTGGAACAAGCGGGGGGAGGGCCGCCGCAAAAGACGGGGTTTGGAAGCCGAAAGGAGTGTTCAGCGAAACGCGCTTCGCAAAGAGAAGTCCTCCACAGGGTGTCGAGCTGCCAGTGCTCCTCCTCCGCTCCTCAGCTCCGCTGGGAAAGCAACCAACTAGGTAAAACAGAAAAAAATGCAGGAAAAGCCAGCCAAAGAAGCAAGAAATACAAACCAGAAGCAAGCTAAATTCCTCAGCTGATTGGCGGCTGCAAAGAGGGAGCTCCTCTGCCGCGCTTGCCTTAAGAGCGGCAAGCCACACCCCCTGAGCCAGCTGATAGGCTGGCCAGGGGATGATGCGGCAGAGGGATTCCCCCTGTAAGCGCGGGCCGAGAGCCAGTCTCCGTGCGGGAGTTGGGGGCGGGAAGCCCACAACCCCACCTCCCCCCTAGGGTCGGAAGTGGCTTTCTCTCCATCTTTTCCCAGCCACCTTGCTAGAGGGCCATGCCTGGAGAGCAGGTGGGGAGCTCAGGCAGATGCCTCCTCTCTCACACACCCTGGGAGAAGACTCCTCTCCCGCTCAGCTAGGAAAGCCAACCCCCACCCAAAGCGTCCCCTAAACAGCCTCCAAGGGAAGTCCCCACACAGCTGAGCCCCATGGCTTTTAGAGAGTGAGAGCCTGGAACTCAGGAGGAATTACACCAAAATGAAGGCAAGGGTTGGGGTTTGTACCCGCAGATGCCTGGTGGGGAAACCAGGCGACCTGGAGCTTCTCAATGGCATGTATGAAAGTCAGAACTGGGAGAGGTCGCCTGTGGGGAGGGGACAATGAGACACTCACCCTTCCCTGTCACGCGACACAACCCCAGCCCAGGGCCTGACCTCCCTGCCACCACCCTTGCACCTCTGCTGCCATGAGTCTCTTCCCCAGATGAGAGGGGGACAGAGAGCCTTGCTTTGCACTCTCAAGTCCGCTTGGCATGGAGCATTTCAATCAGGAGGCTGTTGCAGGGCACGTCCCCGCTCAGGTGCTTGTGGTACAGGTACTCCTCCGCTTGCATGCTCAGGGACCGGACGTCGGCCAGCTGCATCAGAAGCTGGCGGAACCTGTCTGTGGCGTGTGGGTAGTTGCAGAGGGTGTACTCCATCAGGGCTGCATTGGCCTTTTCCGGGGCTTCCTTCACCACACTTGAATTCTCCACAAGTTTCACATCGGCGGGGGGGGGGGATAAGGGGGGGCGCATTGAATGGGGTAACCTCTCTTGAATGGAGGGGCTTGCTCCTGGACGCACAGGCCACAAACATGGAAGGTGTCACTTGCAAAGCTCGCACAAGCCATCTGCTGATATCTGCAAAACGGCTGAGGTTGATGGAGAGGCTTCCCTGTGAGGAGAGCCTGCAGCGTTCAGGTCTTTTTAGTGTAGAGAAAAGGTGACTGGAGGTGACCTGACGGAAGCATATACAATTGCATGTGGTGTGCAGAAAGTGGAGTTTTTTTCCTCCCTCTAACATGATGACACCAGAACTCTTGGGCATCCAATGAAGCTGAATGTTGGAAGATTCAGGACAGAGAAAAGGAAGTAGTTCTTCATGCAGCGCATCATTAAACTATGGAACTCCCTCCCACAGGAGGCAATGATGGCCACCAATTTGGAGAGCCTTGATGGAGGTTTGGACAAATCCATGGAGGAGGAGGAGACGAGCCACAATTACTGTGCTCTGCCTCCATGGTCAGAGGCGGCAATGCTTCTGAATACCAGATGCAGGAAACCACAGGAGGGGAGATCTGCTCTTGTGCAAGGATCCTGCTTGCTGGTTTCCCACAAGCATCTAGTCAGCCACTGTGAGAACAGGACTAGATAACACATTGGCCTGATCCAGCTAATGGCTCTTCCTACCTTCATAAGCTTCATCTGGCCATCTGCCAGGATGAACAGGGACTGACCTTGCCAGCCTTATGCTCTGCAGATGCTTAGCAGTACAGTTCCCCAAGGCTCCCAGGCAGCATCAGGCTGGCAAAGGCTATACGAGATAAATAAACCATATCTGACAAGCGGTTTTTCTTCTTACATTCTGATGTTCCCTAAACAAACCACCACTTCAAAGCCACTATATTGTGTTCCTCTCTAAACACTGGCTGGAGGGATTGGGGTTTAATCTGCTTGGCCTTCCCAGGTGACAATAGGGCTCAGCCAACATGGAAACCATTATCCAAGGTGCCTGAAGCAGCTCAGCCAAAGAGCAAGGGGTAGGAGGATGACAGAGACAGGTGTGAAGGTGCAGTGATAAGCACATCCCTCTTAAGCTGTTGCCCACCTGCCGGGGAGGGCGGGGTATAAATAAGATTTATTATTATTATTATTATTATTATTGTTATTATTATTATTATTATTATTATTATTATTATTAAATAAACACACACAAAAAAACACTCTCTAACATGTACAGGTGCCCCCTTGACTGGGAGGTCAAGGAGGAAGAAGTGAAATCTGTCATGGTACAATGGGCCAGAGACTTTGGGTACAACATCCAGATGGAATCATGGGAGAGGTTGTGGTTGGAGGACCTAAAATTCACAGTGTGCTACGATTTGAAAGAGAATTTCATGAAGATGCTCCACAGATGGTACTTAACACCTGTAAAACTGGCCAAAATGTATAAATCTAGATCAAACATCTGTTGGAGATGCAGGGAGGCGGAAGGCACCATGATCCACATGTGGTGGAACGGCAAAAATATCAGAGAATTTTGGGAAACAATCTACAATGAACTTAAAAAATTGTTTAGATGTTCCAACCCAAAGAAGCCCGAAGTCTTCTTGCTAGGCATAATGAGCAATGAAATCCTCAAAAAGGTAAGGAAAATCTTTATGTATGCGGTAGCAGCAGCTAGGATTCTAATTACTAAGGTATGGAAAGGAGATTCTATTCCCTTAAAATTAGACTGGCAAAATAAAATGCTAGAATATGCAGAACTAGCAAGATTCTGAGACCATACAGATCAAGCACCATATTTTTCGCTCTATTAGACGCACCGGATGATAAGACGCACCTAGTTTTTAGGGGAGGAAAACAAGAAATAAGAAAGCAATGCAAAGCATCCTGAGCTAAGAGATAGCGCTCCTCCATCTTCGCTCAGGAGGCTTTGCGGGGCTATCCCTGAAGCCAGGAGAGCAAGTGGGATCGGTGCACGCCGATCCCTCTTGCCCTCCTGGGGTCAGCGAAAGCAAGCCTACTGGCTTTCCTCCCGCAAGAGCCGCGTGCTCTTTAAAGGGAGCGCGGCTCTTGGGGGCTTTTCTGGGAGGTGGGGGAAGGGACAGAGCCGCGCACTCTGTCCCTTCCCCCACCTCCCGCAAAAGCCAGGGATAGCCGCACGAAGCCTCCGCAGGGCTGCCATGCGGAGGCTTCGCATGGCTGAGACAGAAGCTAGAACAGCAAGAGGGAGCACTGCACAGCGCTCCCTCTCGCTGTTCTGGCTTTTGGATAGCGCACAGCTATCCCATAAACCAAGACAGCGAGCGGGATCAATCCTGCAGGCTGTCCTGACTTCTGGCTTAGCCGTGTGCAGCCTCTCCCGAGGAAGGGGAGCCTTCATCCCCTGCCTGGGAGAGGCTGCGCGCGGCTAAGGCTCCCCCAAGAACCGCGCTCCCTTTAAAGAGCGCGCAGAGTGTGTGCTCTTGGGCGCTTTTCCCTGAGGAGGGAGAAGGGCCACACACGCTCCACATGGCTCTTTAAAGGGAGCGCTGAGCAGAGCCTCCCGCCTGCATTCGCTCCATAAGATGCACACACATTTCCCCTTACTTTTTAGGAGGGGAAAGGTGCATCTTATAGAGCGAAAAATACGGTATTTAATAAAGAGTGGAATATCTACAGAGAATATTTAAAAGAACATTGTAATAACATAAATTCTTTGGCAGGCCTGGATTGATTTCTGAATGGATTAAGAAATCATTACAGAATTAAAATAACAGAAGAACTTAGGAGAGATAAAGGTAAGTGCGCAGCATAATGAAATTTAGGAACCACAGTGGGGGGGTCGGAAGTTACGTTAGAATTAGCGATGGATGAACTTAATATTTTCTTTTTTCAGTGTGTATGTATGGAGTGTTAATTACTGGATTGCCCTTTGTGGGATGATGCATATTGTTCTGCTTTGTATTTGTTTTGTTATGTTTTTAAAATTAAAGCATGGAGAGAATTCTTTAAAAAAAGATCAGTACCTTCTACACTTACTGGCAGCCATGGCTCTCCATGGCAGGAAATATTGCCCCCTCCCAGGCCTACCTAATGAGGATTGAACCCAGGACCTCCTGCATGCAAAACGGAAGCTCTTCCACTGAGCTATTGCCCTCCCCCAGGAGCCTTTTTGCAGATCTGCTTTTCCTCGAGATCCCTTCCTAGAACCTTCTCTGGGGAAGCGGCAAGGTCTCATTTTGTAGACTCTCAAGGCATCCAGCAGCAATGTTGGAGATGGGGGCACCATGAGGGGCAGCCCTCCTTCAGGGCCCAGATTTGCTGTCAAAAGGCCCTCAAATGTCAGCCAATGTCTCAAGAGACATCTCCTTCCCCCAGGGGTCTTGCAGATAACTGTGGACAGCCTGGATTCAGTGGCATCTCACCCTAAGGCTTGCACACAGTTCCCAGGGGATACAACCGAGCCTAACCACCTGTAACTGAAAACAACAACAGCAACATAATGGTTCCTGCTGCATTCCACCTGGGTAGAATTTTAGGCTGTAGGCTCCTTGGGGCAGGGACCTGCCCTTGTGTCCCCTGTAAAGCAGTTCTGGAAGGCCTGGTGCCCTCCAAACATTGCTGGACACACAGCTCCCATAGTCCCTGACCAGGCTGGCCAGGGCTGATGGCAGTTAGAGGACTGCATGGCTCCCATCCCTATAAAAACACTCAGGACATGCTTCTCTCAGCCATGCCAAGTTCTGGATCCAGTCCAACTAAAGGCCAACAAGGCCTTCCCAAAAGGTGGTGTGCCAGTATCACAATGGCATTATACAAGTCTGTGGCGCAACACTTCTGGTGCCCTGGCCTCAAAAAGGGATGCGCAATTGGGAAAAGTTCAGAAAAGGGCAACCCAAAGGATGAGGTGGATTTAGGGGAGCGCAACCAGTTTGTCTGCACTGGGCGCTGAGCTGAGAGGGCACTGTGGGGGGTGCTGCAACAATATGAAACGGAAGGCAATAGGTTGGGGGGGCTGGATTTTGGCGTTGCACAGGCCGCCACTGAAATTTGGAAGCCCAGAGTAGGGACTCCCCTGTGAAGAAAGGTTGCAGCATTTGGGACTTTTTTGTGTAGAGAAAAAATGAGAAAGAGGCAGCAACATAGATGTTCATAGAATTACACGTGGCACAGAGAAAGTGGACAGAGAAAAACTTTTCTTCCTGTCTCCTAACGCTAAAATATGGGGATATCCAATGAAGCTGAAAATTGGAAGATTCAGGACAGATCAAAGAAAATACTTCTTCACACAGAGCAGAGTTATTTATTTATTTTTTTATAAGATATTTATTAAGATTTTTAAAATATTACAATAAAAATTAAAAAAATGACAAAAATACAAAATAAAAATAGTTAAAAACACACAGATTTTCCATTACTTATTTTCCTTTGACTTATTTCCTGGACCTCCTCATACCTCCATTTTTTGTATTCCACTTCAATCTGTTGGTTCAGCAAATCCTTTAAAAGTAATAATATTAATTTTTTACCTATTTATAACCCTTTTTTCATATTCCCTTAAAGCATTACAGCTGGAAACCACTTAATTACTATCCAACATCATTCTAACATTCATTAATTTTACAATATTTCTGTAGATAATCTTTGAATTTCTTCCAATCTTCTTCCACCGACTCTTCTCCCTGGTCTCGGATTCTGCCAGTCATTTCTGCCAGTTCCATATAGTCCATCAGCTTCATCTGCCATTCTTCCAGAGTGGGTAAATCTTGTGTCTTCCAATACTTTGCAATGAGTATTCTTGCTGCTGTTGTGGCATACATAAAAAAAGTTCTGTCCTTCTTTGGCACCAATTGGCCGACTATGCCTAGGAGAAAGGCCTCTGGTTTCTTCAAGAAGGTATGTTTAAATACCTTTTTCAGTTCATTATATATCATTTCCCAGAAGGCCTTAATCCTTGGGCACGTCCACCAAAGGTGAAAGAATGTACCTTCAGTTTCTTTACATTTCCAGCATTTATTGTCGGGCAAATGATAGATTTTTGCAAGCTTGACTGGGGTCATGTACCACCTGTATATCATTTTCATAATATTCTCTCTTAGGACATTACATGCCGTAAACTTCATACCTGTGGTCCATAACTGTTCCCAGTCAGCAAACATAATATTATGTCCAACATCTTGTGCCCATTTAATCATAGCAGATTTCACCGTTTCATCCTGAGTATTCCATTTCAACAGCAAGTTATACATTCTTGACAAATTCTTAGTTTTGGATTCTAACAGTTCTGTTTCTAATTTTGATTTTTCCACCTGGAAGCCAATTTTCTTGTCCAAATTATATGCCTCCATTATCTGATAATAATGAAGCCAATCTCGCACTTTGTTTTTTAGTTTCTCAAAACTCTGCAGTTTCAGTCTATCTCCATCTTGTTCCAAAATTTCCCAATATTTCAGCCAATTGGCCTCCATATTGAGCCTTTTCAGAGCTTTCGCTTCCATCGGTGACAGCCACCTTGGGGTTTTTTTTTCCAATAAATCCTTGTATCTTATCCAAACATTAAACAACGCTTTCCTGACAATGTGGTTTTTAAATGCTTTATGTCGTCTTGATCAACTCACCTGGTTTGGAGAAGAAACCCTATTCACGGTTTAATTGAATATTTGAATAATCTTTTCATTCCTGCAAGGCATAAAGAATGTTGCGTGGTGAGTTCTTGCCTCCCCCCAGTGGAAATAATGACACATGACACCGTTATTTTAGGTTAATGGGCAAAAATTGGCCACAACTTTATTGGTTACAGATGATGAGCGTTATTGGCTTAGGCATTGGTCTTAACCAACTATCCAGCTTCAGCCTGATTGCTTGAAGTCCGGGAAGGGTTAACCACCAGTAGAGGGAGTCCTACTGATGCACATCAACTAGGAACTCCCCCAGGGTCACCGCTCGGGGGTGTGCCTTAGGCCCTCACCTCCATAGGCTTTGGAGAGGTCCACGCCCCCTTGAATCCTTTACCGGACTACCCTTTAGTATGCGGGGGAGGTGATGGCGCTTCCTCCCCCCTTCATCTACATAACAATACCCATAGCAATGCCTCACCGCCACTCGAGCAAAAGCTCACCGCCAATACCCTCAAACCTGCAACCAATCCCTAATCCCGGAAGATATATCAGCCAACCAGACATCTTTTCCCTCATCGGAAAGATGCACGCCATCCTCTCGGTAGAGGGCCACCTTGTTGAACTGGATATTGGGGTGGTCAATGACCCGCCGCCCCCCCGTGCTGCCACTCTACACGCCACCGCACATTCCAGAATCTTTCTGGCTTTGTTTACTGCAATAGGGCACCAACAGTCCCTCCAAACCCGCCTCTCCAGCAGTGATGACCAAATTAGGGCAACGTTTGGGAATGAGGCGATCAAATCACCAAAGTCATTGTAAACGCTCCACATCAAGTCCACGCCTTTTTGATAGGCCAAATCATTTTCACCCAGCTGAATGACCAGGGCATTCGGGGGGCCTTCCAAAGCGGCTCTGGCTCTCACTGCCGGCATAAATTCCACCCAGTGCATCCCCCTCCGAATGATCCAGGAAACTTCAACGTTTCGTGGCAGCTTGCACCCTAGGCCACAGTTGATGGCACGGTTTCTAGCCCGGTTTCTGTGGCCTATAATCTAAACTCGCACAACATAACACATGTGAACTGATGTCTTGCCAGGTGGGAGCCATCTGCATGTATGAGGAATGGGCCAGCAATATTTGGTCTCAAATACAAAAAACGCCGAAAAAGGAAAACTTTGTTGCTAGATCTGCTTTTTTTTAAAAAAAAAAAAAAAAGATGGATACAAATAGAAATTGTTTCCCCTAGAGGGAGCCTGTTAAACTGTTATTAGAGTCGAACTGGGGAGCTTTGCAGCTGTAGAGATTAAAGATCGTGGGACCAGACTTCGACCTTGAACAAGAATGTGCTTAGAGGAGGCTTTGGTGCTTGCTCTCTGCAAGACAAGTGCTTTATTGGAACAGTTACATGAGAAGATGGATTTGATGACTGTTGCAGTTGGAAATTTTGGACAGGCAGTGAGTACCTATATAGAACCCACTCAGGAATTAATCCAGGAATGTGCTTTGACAGATCAGATAAAGGAGGAGGTTGTTGCTGAACCTCAAGTAGCAGAAATGGAGAGAGCTGCGGCCCAGCAGGAACATGAGTTGTTGGATTTGACGAATGAACCTGGAAAAAGTCAGATTTGGAGAGATGGAGTTCTGTTTGGCTTGGAGATGGGGGGCTGGATGGATCCCCCTATGCAGGGATGTTTTGATCTTTCTATTCTTGCTTTGGGCCGGGTGTAGATCGGAGTAGTGGGGGCCCTTAACTTTGGAGGGACTTTGAAACATGCCTTTAAATATTACATGGATTTCAGTGTTGACTATGGAAAAGGGGCTGACTTGTCGAGAAGGGACAAAGATATTGTCAAGTTGGAGTCTCCCCAAGTGAAAGGAAGGAAATTAAGAATAAGATCAGCAGAAGACAAAGTAAAGTACAGGTATAAACATGAAGAAGACCTGCGGAAGGGACATGGAAAAGACTTAAGAGCCTCGGATACAAGGTCACCAGGTTGATGGACTAGATGGATGGGATAGAAAGAACTGACAAAACCCGAGACCAGGAAGAAGAGACGATGGATGAAGATTGGAAGAAAGTTTTAAAAATGTATTTAGAAAATTATCGTAAAATTAATGAGTATTAGAAAAATGTTGGAATGAAATTATTTGGCTTTAGCAGAAATGTTAAAAAGAATTATGTAAGAATATGTTATGGTTAAAAGAATTTGGTATAAATAAGATTTAAGTTTTAAGCTTTAGGGTTTTTTATGGTAAGATAAGGTTAAAATAGATTAAGGTAATTTAATGACAGAATATTGTGAAAGATGGAAAGGATTTGCTGAGACAATTAACAACTAGAATACAAAAAAGGGAGGTGTGAGGAGGTCGATGAAATAAGTTAATGAAAGTTAAGGATTTGGGAATATTGGATTTGTTTTTAAATTTTTTGTTTATTTTTGCTTTTTGATTTTGATGTATTGTGTGTTTTGTTTTCTCTTTTTGACTTTGGTTTTTATTGATTTGTATTGTTTAATTGTTATTTTTATCTACCTTTTTTCTTTTTCTCTTTCTCTTGTTTTTTCCTTCTTTTTTCTTTGTAATTTTAAAATTCTCAATAAATATCATTTTTTTAAAAAAAAATAAAATACAAAAAACGCCTAGTGTCCTTTACCAGGCAAGGCCCCCTATTATGCGTTGCTTGAAGCCGGATAAGGGCTCCCTTTCCCTGTTGATCTGTTTTTGAGCAACGGACATGCAGAACCAAATTGGAACAAGATAAGGTCAAGTTCTTTAAAAGGATTCCCCTTACTGCGGGGAAAATAAACGCGCCTCGTATTTGGACCAACAAATGCTTCTTAATTTTTTATGAATTTGGCACAGAATGTTGTAAGTTATGGGTCTTCTACCATCGCTGCTGGGAGGCTGTAGCCAGCGCCAACCCTCTAATGCCTTTCGCACAAGGAAGTCCGCACAAGGGTCTATTGAGTAAATAGCCTTACAAAAGAACAATATTGCAGCAGACTGTATGTTAAGTGTCTTTGCTGCGCGGCCCAAATCCCTAAAATGTACCATATATTGAAGCACCTCGGCCTTTGCATGGGGGGTGTCAAGCCTAACATTCTTAAACTTATTACGAAACTCCAAAAAATCCGACCAGGCCTTTTTATATGATCTAAGCGTGGACAGGGCTACAGATGCCAATACTCCCTTCAAGACTTCAAAGTAGTTTCTTGACACCCAGTCTGTGCCTCCCCTCTCGGCGCGAAAGCTTACTGAGCAAGGAGGGTGTGGGTAACGGAGGACCTCTCTCCTCCCCGCTTTGCCCAGGCAAGGTGTCCTGGCACCGCCTCGCCTCCTCCGAGCCCTGAAGCTCCTCTTCACTGGAGCCGTGGTTACTCTCCTCCATGTTCTTTGGGGGCTCTCTGTAATCCATCTGGCTTTTCCCCTCTCCCCCCGAGCCGATGGCAGTTCCCTGACAGTTGTGGTAATTGCTGCACCTCTGGCGCTAACGAGTCCATCTGAAAACGAGATAGAGCATCCACGATGTCATTACTAACCCCAGGTACAAACTTAGCCGAGAAATAAATGTTTAGCTTTAGGCACAAAAGGACAAAGGACCGGAGCAGTGCTGCCACCCTGGGGAAACGCGGTGATTGTTTTGATAGGACGGAGACAACCGCTTGATTGTCTGTCCAAAAACATACCCAGTGGTTTTAAATATTTGGGGATTAACTTGACAGCAAAAAATGGGAACTTATTTAAAGATAACTATGAAAGATGTTGGGCTGAAGTGAAAAAAGACTTAGAAATCTGGTCAAATTTGAAGCTTTCACTGCTGGGTCGCATTGCTGCCGTAAAAATGAATGTATTGCCTAGAATGTTGTTTTTGTTTCAAACATTGCAAATTGTGGACAAAATGGACTGTTTCGAGAGGTGGCAGAGAGATATTTCTAGATTTGTCTGGCAGGGCAGGAAGCCCAGAATAAAATTTAAAATACTAACAGATGCAAAGGATAGAGGTGGATTTGCCCTGCCAGACCTTAAACTTTACTATGAATCAGCAGCTTTCTGCTGGTTGAAAGAATGGCTGCTTCTTGAAAACACTGACATTTTGGATTTAGAAGGTTTTAACAACGTATTTGGGTGGCATGCATATCTGTGGTATGACAAGGTCAAAGCGCATAAAGCATTTAAAAACCATATTGTCAGGAAAGCACTGTTTAATGTTTGGATAAGATACAAGGATTTATTGGAAAACAAAACTCCAAGGTGGCTGTCACCAATGGAAGCGAAAACCTTGAAAAAGCTCAATATGGAGGTCAAATGGCCAAAATATTGGGAAATTTTGGAACAAGATGGAGACAGATTGAAATTGCAGAGTTTTGAAAACTAAAAACAAAGTGCGAGACTGGCTTCATTATTATCAGATAATGGAGGCATACAATTTGGATAAGAAAATTGGCTTCCAGGTGGAAAAATCAAAATTAGAAACAGAACTGTTAGAACCCAAAACTAAGAATTTGTCAAGAATGTATAACTTGCTGCTGAAATGGAACACACAGGATGAAACGGTGAAATCTGCTATGATTAAATGGGCACAAGATGTTGGACATAACATCATGTTCGCTGACTGGGAACAGTTATGGACCACAGGTATGAAGTTTACGGCATGTAATGCCCTAAGAGAGAATATTATGAAAATGATATACAGGTCGTACATAACCCCAGTTAAGCTTGCAAAAATCTACCATTTGCCTGATAATAAATGTTGGAAATGTAAAGAAACTGAAGGTACATTTTTTCACCTTTGGTGGACGTGCCCAAAGATTAAGGCTTTCTGGGAGATGATATATAATGAATTAAAAAAGGTATTTAAATATACCTTCTTGAAGAAACCAGAGGCCTTTCTCCTGGGCATAGTCGGCCAACCGGTGTTAAAAAAGGATAGAACTTTCTTTATGTATGCTACAACAGCAGCAAGAATACTCATCGCAAAGTATTGGAAGACACAAGAGCTACCCACACTGGAGGAATGGCAGATGAAAATGATGGACTACATGGAATTGGCGGAAATGACTGGCAGAATCCGTGACCAGGGAGAAGAGTCAGTGGAAGAAGACTGGAAGAAATTCAAAGATTATTTACAGAAATATTGCAAAATTAATGAATGTTAGAGTGATGTTGGATTGAAATTAAGTGGCTTCTAGCTGTACAGGCTTTAAAGTTATAAATATATCAAGATTAAGGATTAGGATTAAAAAGGTTACAAGAATGGAAAAATTGGTTTTTAAAATAGGTAAAAATTTAATGTTATATTATATTAAGATTAAGGATTGGGATTAAGAAAGGAATTGCTGGACTAACAAACTGAATTGGAATACAAAAGAGGGAGGTATGAGGAGGTCCAGGAAACAAGTAAATGTAAAAGTAGTGATGAAAAGAGGGAATTGTTTTTAACTGTTTTTTCTTTTTTCTTTTTGTATTTTGCATTGTGTGTTTTTCTTTTTCTTTTTGAATTTTTCTTTTTTGTTGATGTGATTCTTTCTTTGTGAAATTTTAATAAATATAATTTAAACAAAAAAACAAAGAAACAAAAACATACCCAGTGGTTTTTAAACTCCCCTGCCCACAAGTGTACCGCAATTACAATTGGAAAAAAATTCTAGGGAAAGTTATAGGCTTTCCCTGCCAGGTAGAGGGCCACTGCTGCGCACACCACTGCCCTTTAATGTAGATGCCGAACCCTAAGGAACCAGCTGCGTCAGACTGTACCTGAAAGTCTGCCTGAAGCAATATATTATCCGGCCACAATGAAATGCCATTGTGCATGTCCAAGAACTTTAACCAAACCTTCAGGTCAGACTTGACCGTTTTAGAAAGGCGCACTCTGTGTTGGGGAGCCCACAGTCCTGCTGACAACCTTGCTAAACACCCACAAAAGGGGAGGCCAGGGGACACCACCCGGCACGCGAAGTTAAGATGACCCAGAAGCGATTGAATCTGCCTAAGGGTGACCTTCTTAAGGAGAAGCAGCTGTAGAATTAATTCCTTAAGGGCAGTTAACTTTTCTTTTTTTTTTTTAAAACAATTTATTGGGTTTTACAATAGAAATAAATGTAATAAACAATATAGCATTCGTCTTAACATAATTTCACATTTTCTTTGGACTTCCTCACATCTCCCGCTCCCACCTTCATCATTATAACATTTTGTCAGCAATTTATCATCTTATTTAAATTCTTATATCTCTTCGATATTTCATAATCTTAAAGTTCTCATAAAGAGTTAAACTTTCACAACTTTTCTTGTTTCCTTAAAAATTTCTAAGTTAAGTGGTGCTCAGTTATTTAGTCCAGCATCTTATTCAGCATTCAATCAAATCACAATGTTTTTGTAGGTAGTTCTTAAATTTCTTCCAATCCTCCTCGATTCTCTCTTCTCCCAGGTCACGGATTCTGCCAGTCATTTCAGCCAGTTGCATATAGTCTATCAGTTGCATCTGCCATTCTTCCAGTGTGGGTAGATCTTGGGTTTTCCAATGTTTTGCGAGTAGTATCCTTGCTGCTGTTGTTGCATACATAAAAATGTCTGGTCCTTCTTTGCCACCCCTTGGCTGACAATACCCAAAAGGAAGGCCTCTGGTTTCTTAGTGAAAGTATATTTAAATACCTTTTTCAATTCATTATAAATCATTTCCCAGAACGCCTTCACTTTAGGGCATGTCCACCAGAGGTGAAAGAACGTTCCTTCACACTCTTTGCATTTCCAGCACTTGTTATCAGACAGGTGGTAAATTTTTGCGAGTTTGACTGGGGTCATATACCATCTATAAATCATTTTCATTACATTTTCTTTCAAAGCATTACATGCAGTAAATTTCAATCCATTACTCCACAGCCTTTCCCAGTCCTCAAACATAATATTATACCCAATATCCTGTGCCCACCTTATCATAGCCGATTTAACCATTTCATCTTGTGTATTCCATTCCAACAGCAAGTTATACATCCTTGAAAGTATCTTAGTCTTTGGTTCTAACAATTCTGTTTCTAATTTCGATTTCTCCACCTGGAACCCTAGTTTCTTATCACTTTTAAAAACTTCTTTAATCTGAGCATAGTGTAACCAATCTCGCACTTTGTCTTTCATTTTCTCCAAGCTCTGCAATTTCCAATTGTCTCCATCTTTTCTAGTATTTCCCAATATTTTGGCCATTTGGCCTCCATATTGGGTCTTTTTCGGGCCTTAGCTTCCAAAGGTGAAAGCCACCTTGGTGTTTTATTTTCCAGCAAGTCTTTATATTTTGTCCAGACATTAAACAGTGATTTTCTAACAATATGGTTCTTAAAGGCCTTATTTGCTTTAACTTTGTCATACCATAAATATGCATGCCATCCAAAAACATTGTTAAACCCCTCCAAATCTAACACATCAGTGTCTTCAAGAAGTAGCCAGTCTTTTAGCCAGCAGAACGCTGCGGCTTCATAGTACAACTTTAAGTCCGGCAGGGCAAAGCCCCTCTTTGTTTTGCATCGGTTAGTATCTTAAACTTAATTCTGGGCTTTTGCCCTGCCAGACAAACTTCGAAATGTCTCTCTGCCACTTCTGAAAGCACTCCATTTTGTCCAATACCTGCAGTGTTTGAAATAAAAACAACATTCTTGGCAATACATTCATCTTAATCGCAGCAATTCGGCCTAACAAAGAAAGTTTCAATTTTGACCAACTGTCTAAGTCTCTCTTAATTTCTGTCCAACATTTTTCATAATTATCCTTAAATAGACTTAGATTTTTGGCTGTTATGTTTACCCCTAGGTATTTTACGTGTTTAACCACAGTAAGTTCCGTCTCATTCTGAAACCGTTCTGACTCTGTCTCAGTCAGATTTTTCCCCCAAAACCTTAGTTTTCTGTTTGTTTAATTTAAATCCCGCCACCCGACCAAAATCATTAATCAATTGTAATACTCTTTTCGTACTAGGCTCTGGCTTCTGCAAGGTCAAAACCAGGTCATCTGCAAAGGCTTTTAATTTATATTGTTTCTGACCAACCTGAATTCCTTCCACCAGCTGGTCCCCTCTAATCATGTTCAATAGCACTTCCAGGACCGAAATAAATAACAAAGTGGAAATAGGGCAACCTTGTCGTGTCCCTTTTTCAATTTTGAACTCTTCTGTAACCACATTATTAACTATCAGTTTTGCTTTCTGTTCTGAATATATCGCCTCAATCCCATTCTCAAAACCCCGTCCCACTCCCATCTCTTTTAAGTTTCCCATCATAAATTTCCAAGAGATGTTATCAAAGGCCTTCTCCGCATCTATAAAAATTAAAACAGCTTTTGTATTTATGTCAGTTTGGAGAAGTTCCAAAATATCAATAATGTTCCTTGTGTTAGCAAACAAATGTCTACCTGGGAGAAAACCGGCCTGGTCCTTATGAATTACTTCATTTAAAACTTTTTAAATCTACTTGCCAAAATATCTGCAAATATTTTGTAATCCACATTTAAAAGGGAGATGGGACGGTAGTTCTTCAGTTGTGTCTTTTCAGTTTCTGACTTTGGTATCAATGTGATAAACGCTTCCTTCCACGAATCCGGTGCCCTCTTCCCCTCCATAATTTCATTGCTAACCTCCATCAAGGGTTGTATCAAATAGTCTTTTAGTGTCTTGTAATACTTGGAGGTCAGCCCGTCTGGCCCTGGAGATTTGCCAAGTTGCATGTTCTGAATAGCTTGTTCAATCTCCTGTCGTGTTATTTTAGAGTTCAGGATTGTCCTATTTTCTTGTGACAGTTTAGATAATCCATTTTTGCCAAAAATTGTTTAATCTCAACTTCGTCTTGCGGCCCTTGGGTATATAATTTTTAAAATATCTCTGGAAACACTTTCTAATGTCCACTGGATTCTGAATGTTTCTTCCATCAACCTCTAAATTTGTAACCGTGTTTAATCTTTGTCTTCTCTTCAACTGCCAGGATAGCAGTTTTCCACATTTATTCGCCGACTCAAACGTTTTTGTTTCATTAATTTGATCTTCCATTCAATTTCCTGATTTATCAATTTAGAATACTGTGTTTGATACAGTTTAATTTCTCTCAGAGTTGGCTGTGACTTTGGATTCACTCTTAATTTCTTCTCTAATTCTTTTATTTTATCCTAAATCTTGTCTTTTTCTCATTTTGTGTTTTTTTCTTTACTACATTCTGTTGTATCAGGAATCCCCTCATGACAGCTTTGCTTGCGTCCCAGACGATTCTTTTTCCACCGAATTGTTCATATTTATCTCAAAATAATCTTTCAAAACTTTTTGGGCCTTCTTGGTAATTTCCTGATCTCTAAACAAATTGTCATTCATCTTCCATCTAAAGGATCCAGTTGGTAGTAGTGTCATGTCCATCTTTACTGCGTTGTGGTCAGAACAGGTCTTTGGGCAGATTTCCACTTTTCTAACCCTAGGTGCCAGGCCTCTAGAGATCCATATTTGGTCGATTCTTGTCCAGGTCAGTTGGGCTTCAGAAAGAATGTTCCTTCTCTACCTAGTGGGTTCTTTGTTCTCCAAATGTCGATCAAATCCATATTGTCAGTCATTTCAAAAAAGGTTTTAGGTAGTCTGCCATCTTTTGTGATGTTTTGACTTTGCGACTTGTCCATGTTAGTTGACACGACCCCGTTCATGTCTCCCATCATTATGATGTTGTTGTAATCCAGATGATCCAGCATTGTCCCCTGCAACTTCTTGTAAAATTCCGATTTCCCTTCATTAGGCGCATAGATTCCTAATATCAGCAGTTTCTCTCCTTGATATTGTATCTCAATAGCCAAAATCCTTCCATGTTCATCTTTAAATAGAAATTTAGGTGACAGGCTCTCTTTTGCATATATCACCACTCCTCTCTTCTTCACTTTATCCGACGAAATAAATTCCTGGCCCAATCTTTTATTTATTAACACTTTTCTGTGGAGCCTCGTCACATGTGTTTCTTGTAAGCAAATAATGTCCAATTGTTCTTTTTTTAATATATGAAATATTTTCTTCCTTTTCTCCGGAATATTGCAACCATTAATATTCCAGCTCAACAGTTGCAGAGACATCCTGGATCTATCTGGTTATTTCTCCTGGGGTGGTGTCTTCTCTTGATCTTCAAGTTCCCGAGGTGGAGGTATTGATGCTGGCTTTGCCTCAGGCCCGGAAGGTAGTTCGATTCCTTTATGTAGGTCCTCTCCGTGTGTAGCCAGAAATTTATCTCTCTCTTCCAATGTTCTAATTTTAACCTTTCTCGCTCTAAAGGTAAAAGATAATCCTTGGGGAAAATCCCACCTGAATGGAATTGCGTTGCTCCTTAATAGTTTAGCAAGTTCGGAATAGGCGGCTCTAAGGTCCAACAGTTGTCTTGGGATATCTTTATATATCTCAATTCTTCTATCCAAAACTTCCAGTGACTTTTCGTAATGTAGGCCCAAAATCTTATCCCTTTCCTCCTTCGATCTCAATGTAATCAAACAATCCCTGGGCCTCTCCTTCTTTATAAATCTTCCAAGTCTGAAAGCTGACACAATTTTAAAGTCCTTTTCTTCCAAATTCCAGAACTTGGAAAGTTCTTTGGTCAAAAACTCAGTTAGATTTCCTTCTTCTGCCTCTTGTAATGATCTAATCCTCAGATTATTCTCACGATTTCGCAGTTCTATCATAGAAAGATAAGTCTGATGTTCCCCAACTTGTTTAGTGAGTGGTCTTACCTCTTGCTCTAAATTTTCCAATTTTTGTCTGGTATCCTCAGCCAATTTTCGGTTTTCTACTGAGGCCTCCGTCAACTGTCCAATTGCTTGTGTATTCTGTCCCACCTGTGTAGTTAATTTGTTTAGACAATCTGTATTTTTATCAATCTTTGCTGATTGCGCATCTACTTTCTTGTCCAAAGCTTCCAATTTTTCAAAGATTTTTTCTAGCACAGAAACAGATGCTCCTGAGGCCATATCTTCCAATTGTAACTGCTCTACTTCACCCTCTCCCTCTTTTGCCTGTAGCAAGGCAGCTTCTTCAAGTTGTACTTCTGAGGGCAAAGTAGGCACAGATGATCTACGTGTCTGCGAGGCTGAGGTTAGGTTTGTTAGAGTTGTTTGTCTAACTCTTCCTCTTCTTCTTGTACCACTCATTCCAATGTTATCTATCAGTCAAGGTCACACTGAGTTTTCCCACAGGAATAGAGAGGCCCAGAGCAAGCAGACAACAAGGGAATCGAAAGTAAATGTATTTATAAAGTCACTGTTTTAATCCAATCCTCTAGAGGGAGCTTAAAATGTCTTTTCAGAGTCTGATTTAATGTCCCAGAACCTTCCAATATAAGTATTAAGCAGAGTTTAAAAGTAATCACTTTGTTGCAGACAGTGCTTATTTGTCTCCAGAAAGAATGTTTCAAATTTAAAAGGTCTCAATACCCTCAGATTGTTGCAACTTCTAATATACAGTATCCAAGTCAAACACTGACAGCCCACTGTTACAGTGCTCAAGCAATCCTGACTCTGGGTTTCACCTTCCAATTTGTAATCCAATAAAAGGGGAAAGTCAAGTGCAAATAAAAGGTCCAAATCTTTAACTTGCTAGTTTTACTTTAAATTGTAAGTTCCATAGATGCTTGGCTGTGTAGAGTTTAAAGTCTCTTTCTTTCAGCCTCCACTCCTCCACCTTAGTTGCTTTTTTTTTCCAAGTTCAATGGCAGCGGAAGACGGACTTCCTGTTTCCACGTCTCTCCGCTTTCAGCCAAATTCAAGTCAATTTAAACCTTCTCATTTAAAATTTGTAATTCCAAGTGATTCAGTCTTTACTCACGAATAAGTTGTTTTCTTCCAGGTCCGAATTTTAACAGGAAAAGGGATCAGCGCTCACCGGCAGCAGCAGCGCGGCTTCACTCCGCTGACTGTGAAACGGCTCACAGCGCCGCAGCCCCCCTCCACGCTCCGGGCCTCTTACGAGGCTCCTTCTGCAGTTGGAGGGCTGCTCTTGGCGCCCGCCGAGCCTCAGGACCCCAGGCTCTTGCTGCCTGGGGTTTTTCTCGTTGGGTCTCCGCTTCGCCGTAGCGGACGGCCCGATTTCAGCGGAGCTTCTTCTCCCGTCGGGAGAAGACCGCCATTACCGTTCGCGCCGCCCCCCGGAAGTCCCTTTTTTTATGGGGGCAGTTAACTTTTCTTTGGGTAGGCTGGAAGTCTGTGCAATTGTGTCTAGTTCTATGCCTAAATAAGTCATGGTTGTGACTGGGCCCTCGGTTTTATCCGCAGCCAAAGGTATGCCAAGCTCCTCAGCCAGGGAGGTGAAGGCTTGCAACAGCGCTGCGCACTCATGCTTATTACTTGCCACGAGAATAAAGTCATTGAGGTAATGTGCCACCCCTTCCAAACCAGTTTTAAATTGAAGAGCCCAGTCCAAAAATGTGATGAAGGCCTCAAATGCTGCACATGCTATCAAGCACCCCATGGGCAAAGCTTTGTCTATGAAATATGCCCTCTCAAATCTAAAGCCCAGCCAGCGGAAATCCTCCGGGTGAATTGGAAGGAGGCAAAAGGCTGAGCCAAAAGTGCCCCCCTGCCAAACCTACGAAGAAGCTTTACCGCTTGGTCGAAGGAGGCATATTTCATGGAACAAAGCTCCTGCAGTATCGCGTCATTGACTGAGCTCCCCCTTGGGTAGGAAAGGTTGTGTATCACGCGGTACTTGCCAGGGACCTTCTTAGGAACAATACCTAATGGTGAAATATGTAAACCCTCAAAAGGAGGTTCCCACGCTCCCAGCCAGAATTTCTTTCTGTATTTTCTTCTTAGCAATATCTGGCATTTCTTTTACGGATTTTTGGTTTGGTGGGTCCCCAGAGTTAGGTAGGAATGAAACCGGGATTCTGAAACCAAGGGAAAAGCCCTCCCAAAGGTACTTTGCAGCTTTTTTATTAGGGTACAGATCAAGCAGGGTTTTTAGAGGTCGCAGCCTAACTGGTGAGAAGGCCTGACCAAGGGTCATGTTAGTAATGGTTTCCTTTGAAACAAGCCGTGGCCGGGTGGTTGCCTAGGCACTTCTCACACTCGTGTATATACTTACAGTTTGGCCTCATACAACCGCCCCTGTTGTACTCCCAGCACTGCTTTCAACATTTTGCCTTGACCTTTCCGAACTTAGAGGAGTCCTAAGGTTACTTTTCAACGTAGGGACCCACATGTTCCATCCAATAATTCTGGTCCCTCAGGTCCCAGCGGGTGGTGGGCAGCAAGGAAGCATTTCTGTGGAAATTATCATACGTTAACGCAGCTGCCTCCCCGGCCAGAGCAAAGGCCTTTCTTACGTGAGACATATAAGCTAATAGATGCATGGCGCGTTTGGGGTAACATGCACAAATCATCCCCATAAAGACCTGGAACCTGTCCAGCCAGTTCTCAAAATTGTGTTCCGCCTGTGGTGTCCTATACCTTCGTTTCCCGTAAGAACGTTTCTTTTCCCCTTTCCCCGACACCTTTGCCGGTGGCAGCAAGGTGAAAATAGCTACATAATCACAATTGAGAATCTTGTCTCTTTTCCTTTGGGAAAGGTGATTTCCCAGGATGAAATCAGTGGATACATTAGTGGACGTTTTCACGTCCTCCACTAAAGCACCCCCCTTCCATTCCAAGGACCCATTAAAAGTTTTACGATGGGAGTTAGCCCTCCTCTCATGAACCCATAAAGGAAGCCCAGAGCCATCCTTGCCAAGACCCCAATTTCGTCCAAGGGGGCGTCGCTGTCAGAATCTGATGAGGGAGTACCTGATTCATCCTCGGTGTCGGAAGGCTTACTTTTCTTACTCTTCTTCGCTGTGTGTTTCTTCTTTGCCTTTCTCTTCCCCCCTTGCACTTCACTGGTGGCTGGGGTCGGCTCGGCAGCTGTGGGCGTTTCTTGTTGTACCTCCGCCTCCTCCTCTGACAAAGTTCCTGATCCGCCTTCTGTGGGTGTAGGCTGAGGTAGCGGCTCCTGGAATATACTGGGAACAGCTACAACCTGCTGCGGTGTAGAATGGTTAGGCCTGCTGGAATGAGACCTGCCACCCGCGGAACCGGGTATGAATTTTTGGGAACGCGAAGACTGCGAACGTGTGTGAGGATGGTTAGATGTGCTGTTGCCAGGCTGTGCAGCACTGAAACAGGAGGCAGAAGTACCGGGGCACTCCTGATTGCTGGGGAGGGTGTCGGGGATACAATCCTGGGTACCCGCCATTGGCGTGGAGGAACCAGTGACCATCGGCCTAAACTGTTCATAAAATGTTTCAAAAGCGGAGAAGAATTGAGCTAAGGCCTGAGGGTTGCATGGCATAGCAGGCGTTTGAGACCCACCTTGCACGCCGGACCCACCTCCGTTGGGAGGGGCCTGCTGATTTCCTCTGAAAGCCATGCCACTTACGGAATCAAAGTGTGTTAACTCTCAGTTCAGACACTGTTCAAAATCGTGATATATCCTACAAATCCAGTCACCTTAGTTCAGTATTGTCTATACTGCCCTTAAAGTGGTGCCTTGCAGCACCTACTTCAGTATTGTCTGCATGTCTGCCCTGCCCCTAATCAATGCCTTGCAGAAACCAGCAAACTACTAAATTTGCTACCCTAAATAGATTCACGACCAAGCACAATATAAAGGTCCAAAGTAGTTGCCCGCTCACCGTTGTATTATATTTAAGGTTTGCCAGCAAAAACCTCTCTTTTGGACACAGAAGAACCACCACACAGAAGCCTGTTGGGTGTAGTGAAGGGTTAACCTTCTGTGTCTCGAGCTTGAGGGGAAGGGCTTACAAAGGAAGTAAGCCAGGACGTTACGTCACAGCTTGTTATGCTGTGAAGAAGTGCTTTCGATTTCAGATCGGTCGCTGCACTGAGGGAGATAGGAGTCAGAGAAAATGCAGCTGGACACTGATGGTCTTTGATGGATTGTAAATAAGCTGTTTTGCTGTACAATAAAGCTTCTAGGATATTATATATTATATACATAAACCCAGTTTTGTCATCGATTCATTATGGCATGTTGCTGGCAAAGGCTTGGTAAACAAATCAGCAATATTATCTTGTGACTGACAATACTCCAGTTTGATTACCCCATTCTGTACACAATCTCTAACATTCACATGACGGATAGCAATATGTTTTGATGCGGATTTCATTATTTCTGAGTCCGCTAATGCAATGCATGATTGGCTATCTTCATACACTTGGATAGGCAAATCAACTTTACAATCTAGATCTTTTGGTATCTGTATAAACCACATGATTTCATTGCATGCTAGCGACAGGCTCCCATATTCTGCCTCACAGGATGAGGTCGCAACAAATCCTTGTTTCTTTGATCTCCATCCAACTATGGAATTGGCAAACATCACGACCATTCCACTTGTAGATTTTCTGGTAGATACACAGCTTCCCCAGTCCGCATCAACAAACACTTCTAGTTTTTCATCTTGTGTACTAGGTATCTTTAAACATACATTTAATGTCCCCTTTAGATATCTGATAAGCCTTTTCAAAGCACACCAATCAGCAGTCCTGGGTTTAGATACACGTTGGCTCAGAACATTTGTAGCACATGCAATGTCTGGCCTTGACCACTGGCTTAAATACAACAGTGATCCTATTTTTGAGTGATACAACTCAGGCTGATCAAATTCATCATCACACACTGTCTTTGGGAAATCTGGTGTCATGGGAGTCTGAACTGGCTTGCAGTTTTCCATGCCAAACTGCTCTATCAAATGAAGAATTTTCTCTTTCTGGCTCAATAGGAAGCTTCCATCAGCTTCCTGCCTTACTCTACTCCCAAGTAATTGCTTACAGGCCCTAAGGCTTTAAGCTTAAACCTCTTTTCCAGTTGACTTGTGAGCTTCTGGATCTCATCTGTGGAACTCCCTGCTACAAGCAAATCATCAACAAAGACTAAGAGCATTAGATATTTGTTCCCTGTCCCCTTGGTGTACAGACATGGATCAGCCACACTCCTTTTAAAACCAAGTTTTACAAGGGCTTCATTTAAACACTGGTTCCAAGACCTTCCACTTTGTTTGAGACCGTAAACAGCTTTTTTCAAATGCCAGACTGCACCATTCTCCTCTTCAAACCCAGGGGGTTGTCTCATTTGTTGGGATACTGCCAGGGAGACAAAGTCCATCATGGCCCCCAAGCCGTGTCCGGACGTCCATCGATCTCCCGTAGACACGCAGTATCAGCAATTAGCGACTAATTGCTGATACTGCGTGTCTACGGGAGATCGATGGACGTCCGGACACGGCTTGGGGGCCATGATGGACTTTGTCTCCCTGGCAGTATCCCAACAACAGGTTTCGGGCCCAGATTCACTGCACTTACAGGAGAGTAAGACTGCGACAGACTGCTGAGAGGTATGTGGAGGAAAAGCAAAAGTGAGGCTTTTTGTTGCTGCGGCAAAGTCTCTTTGATGTCTGGCTCGACTAATTGGTCTGGGAGCCGAGGCAAGCAGGCCTCAAGATTTATGGCTGCCAAGATAAGGAGTCTCTGAAGTGAATAGGGCTCAAGGCTCAAGTGAAGAGCTGGAATGGAGTTTTTCCAAGCTTCTGAGTGCCCAAAGTTAAATTGGCACAATTATGAGACCTGGGCTGTGTGGTGTGAGAGTTTGCTGCGTCAGTTTGGAGTGTGGCATACTGTGTCTGAAGCCCCTCCAGTTCCTCTGACAGATAGATGGAGGGCCGAAAATTCGAAGGCCACAGACGTATTAGTCTTGTCCGTCTCTCTGGAGGAGTTTAAAACGTTAGCTGGAAACACCACTGCACGTCAGATGTGGAATGCTTTGAAAGTAGCCCATCTGCCAATCATCCCAGCCCAGAGTTTGACTGCATCGGAGGTCCTGGCTGTTTCCCAGAATGCGAGTGAATGCAGGGATGCCGAGGGCACCAGTTGCAAGCTGCAGGGGGAGCAGACTGTGATGTCATCCCAGGCAGCATTCCAGCCTCAAGGGGGAGCCAAGGAGTCGGCAGCTGAGAACTCTGTTTCTCGTGAGAACCAAGGTCATCGCCTTTGCAGAGTCTGTGAGTCACAGAGTCTGCGCATTTCCTGTTCACAGGAAGTTTATGTTTTCTATTGCCCCATTTCTCTCTCTGTGTCTGGAGACAAACAAAAGCAATAGAAAACATAAACTTCCTGTGAACAGGAAATGCGCAGACTCTGTGACTCACAAAGCCTGCTCCCTTTTAAGGTGGAACGGAAATATCCTAACATCATTAACACTTCATGGTCTAAATTTGCATGCAGATGTGCAGCATCAACATCAAAATGGTGCACTGCTAGTTGTCTTACAGCAGCAATGGAAAGCATTAAACGAAAAGTTTCACTCTTTACAGTGGGAGAAAACACGTCATCATAACTCTCCCCTTTAATCTGAGTGAACCCTCTGGCTACTAATCTGGCTCGAAAATGTGGTTCCCCAGATGCAAGGGTTTTCCTTTTGTAAACCCACTTGCATGACACCACTCTGCCACCAGGTGGCGGCATTATGACCTCAAACACTTTGTTACGTTTAAAAGAGTCCATTTCTTCTTTCATGGCTTGTTCCCACAAAGCACGTTCTCCAGGGGGTAAGTCTAAGACTTCATTATAACTTTGTGGTTCCACACAACTCACATTGCATACTCTCACTCCTCCTAGGGTCAAACGCTGAGGCGGTACACCCTTGTTTGAACCCTGGGAGCACCTAGGCACAACTACTTCTTCTTCCCCCCTTATCTCTGGCTCTTCTTCCTCTTCCTCTAGAGAAGTATTATCTATTTCCATGTCTTTTGGGGAAATATGTGCCTCCTCCTCCTCCTGCTCCTGTGTTGCCAATGGCTGAGAAGAAGCCTCTTCTCTTACTTGCAGGGGCAGTAGGCAATCAGGGTTGGCATGGATCGCAGTCCATCTGTCCTGGTCAGCAAAGTCTGCACTTCGTGACAGAACCACGCGTCCTGGGCGTAAATTGAAACACCACCCTTTGCCATAGGACTGATATCCCACAAACCGCAGTTTCTGCGCTCTAGTGCCCCCTTTCTGGCGCTGAGCTTTGGGGATATTTACATGTGCCCAAACACCCCAGTTATGGAGCATTGTCCACTCTGGTTCTTTCCCAAACAATACACGATAAGGAATATCTTTTATAGAGCTAGACCAGGTTCTGTTAATCAAAACGTTCGCTGTCAGAAAAGCCTCGCCCCACAGCCTATGGTTGTGACCCAATCCTGCATCCACTAGCAGGCAGACCTTTACTGACTGTATTACAGCCCCACGTCTTTCACACAGACCATTTTCAGCAGGGCTATAAGGGTTAGTCAAGCGATCAGTGATCCCCTTACGTCACAACCATGCCCCAAATTGTTTGTTCAGAAATTCTCCGCCCCTATCTGTTTGCAGCTGCACAACAGGCCGAGCGAAGAGCTTTTCAGCTTGGGCAACCCATTCTCTGAATGTGGGGAAGCACTCAGATTTCTGCTTTAACAAAAACAACCAACTAAAACGTGATTTATCATCTATTACCAGAAAAGCATATCTGGTGCCCCCTTCAGTCTTCTGTGGGAAAGGGCCTATCACGTCACAATGGACAAGTTCTAAAACCTCTTTAGATACGCTGTCACTTTTAGAAGCCACAGGCTTCCTCTTACATTTGGCCATTTTACATACATTGCAATCTAGGAAACAGTTACAGCTATTTACTTTTAGGTTCTTGCACACCTTTTGCATCTCTGCAAGCACACGGAAATTGGAGTGACCTAGTTTCCTGTGCAGTTCATGTACACACCCCTTATGAACTGGCAAATTATTCTGAACCACCTGGGCTGCTTTAACAGGCTTGTCCTGCATTACATATAACCCATTTTCCAACTTTGCATGGCCACATACCTGAGTTCCGTTCTTTATCAGACAGCCATCCTGTGTGAAGTTAACACTATACCCTGCATTAATCAAACAGCTTACAGACAGTAAACAATAGTCCAAACTGCTGACAGAGTCTCTGGTAGAGTAGTGTTCAAGCACTGCAGGAAACATGTTCCCTGGCCATCAATCTTGCTTCTACAACCATGAGCAAGATAGATTGAGTCTTTTCCATCGGCTGACTTCCCCAGGGTCTTAAATTCCTCCCGACGGTTGCAGATAATCCTGCTGCTCCCAGAGTCCAGCAACCATGTTCCTCGAGGTATCTTCCTCTCCTCTCGAGAAAATGCAGACACAAACTGAGCAGAACGTGTGTTCTTCTTCCCTGAAGAGAACCCCTTCTGCTTACGTTTCTGCGTCCATTGCTGTCTCTGCTCCACGTCGTCTCCTGGAAGTATTGCCCTGCATTGATGTTGGAGATGCCCAGGTTGGTTGCATCTATAGCACCTCCTCACTGCCATGGCCAAGTTCAAACCTTGGCGTTGCTCCATTGGCAGATTCTGCTGCTGGCCCCCTCGACTGTAACTCCTCTGCTCTTGGAGTTCAGCCTGTTTATCTGACCTTCTTTCTGCTTCTTCAGTCAATCTTCCAACCACATACTCAAGGGTCAGATCTCGGGGACGCATACTCTCCATGCTGTTAATCACAGGCAATCAGCTTTCAGGCAAACTTGAAAGGATAATGTAGGTTTGGTCAGTCTCATCATAACGCTTACCTCTCTGCTGTAGTTGAAGAAACAGAGATTTCAGCGTTTGAAGATGAGTTGCCAAACTCTCACCTTCTTTCATAACAGTCCTGAACAGCCTTCTGGTCAGAGAAATTATAGTTCCAGCAGTTGCTCTGACATGCATTGCCCTTAATAAATTCCAGCACTCAAACGCTGTGCTGGCATTTGCTACATGCAATAACTGAGAGTTGCTCAAACACAGCATAATTTGGGCACGGGCCCTTTCATCCAGCCGTTTTTTCTCGGCAGAGTTCCGTCTCAAAACCTCAGTTTCAACACAGTCCCATAGTCCATCTCTCCTTAACAACTGCTGCATTTTAATTGACCAACTCAGCCAGTTGTTTTCTGAGAGAAGTTCAAAAGGGATGACTCCCCAAATATTTACAACTTGGGAAGACTGGAAATCTGCCATCTCTGCTGGTGCTTGCTGAGCCCCTTCTGTGGGGCCTCCAGCAATCTCTCCGGACTCTCTCTTTAGAGTCCAACTGGATGGTCCTGGCTGGCACTCACCGGCTTCTAGCTGCTGCCTCTGTTGACCCTCAGGTCCCGCCTGGCTCTGCAACTGGTGTAGCCGCTCTGTGAGTCGCCTACTGTGGTCCTCTAGCAGTTCAAACTGTTCCAGTAGCCGACGCTGAGTGCTTTCCTGATGCTCAGATCCTAGCCGCTCCAGCGTCGCTGCAGACAGTTACAGGTTGCCACCAACTGCTCCAACGCACAACCACTGGCTCCATACACCACCAGGACTCACCAGCTCCCTGCTGAGATGCTGTCAGTCGTTTTGCACTCTGCACCTGCTCAGAAACACTGGGCCCATAACCTGTCAGTGTTTGTAAAAAGCAAAAAAAAGAAGGAAAGGGTTCTGACCTCCCTTTGTCTCCTCAGCCTGGTCCTCGGACCCTTGTTGGCACAAAAGAGTCCACGAGAATATCCTTGCAGAGTTTTATTCTCAAAAGTCTTTGTGCAAAACACGACTGAATAACTATACACACCAGCACTAATCAACCAACCAACCCAAACACCAGCCTCAGAACACCAGACTAACATTTCTCACTCTATATACAACCTGGTGCAAGCTGCTGACTCATGCTGACCCAGCTTTATTCGCATTAAAGAAACAGCGGCCATTTTAGCCGTGACAATTTCGCTGTGCATCTGCTTAATTGCTTTCTCCAGAGTTACGCTGAAAACAGAAGCTGGCAGACGGAGCATAGCTGGACATTAAAGCAATAAATCTTCTGAACAGGTTATGGCTCAACGCCAAGAGTGTGAGAAAGGACTTGAAAGGCTTTAAAAGACTGAACGTCCGCTTGATTGACTGCCAAAGAGATCAGAGGGCAGATCGGAGGAGGCTGACGGAGAGGGAGCATCGGAGCCAAGATTGTCACATGCTCTTATCCAAAGTCAGAGAGACAGACCACTCAAGCCTTTGAGTTAATTCATGCAGATTTGTGTGGCCCCATGTCAGTTGAGTCATTGGGGGGATCAAGGTTCTCTCTGCTTTTGATTGATGATTTCTCGAAAAATGCGTGGACTTTTGCTTTGCACACTCTAAAGGGGAGGCGGCTAAGCTGATCAGGGATTGGATCACCGCAGTTGAAGTAACCTTCTCCACCAAAGTGCGTGGCTTTCAGAGTGACAGGGGTTTGGAGTTCACTGGTTCTGCTTTGCAGGATTTCTTTAGAGAGAAGGGGATTAGCCACCGATTGACCGCTCCTTACTCTCCGCAGCAAAATGGAATTGCGGAGAGGCGGAACAGGACGATACAGGAAGCGGTGTCGTCTGTACTGTGGGATGCAGGGCTACCCCAGAAGTACTGGTCCGAAGCCTGGCGATATGTTGTGTTTACGCAAAATAGAGTGTACAACTCAAGTGTAGGGAACACGCCCTATTTCTTGCTGCATGGAAAGAAACCCAAGGTACACTACCTTCGTGTGTTTGGTTGTGAGGCCTGGGTTCTAATTCCAAAGGCTCTACGCAAGAAAGGTGAGCCAAGATCCAAAAGAATGGTCTTTGTAGGGTATGAACCTGGCTCCAAGGGCTGGCGGTTTGCGTACCCAAGTGGAAACCAGTCAAGGTTGGTGATCAGCAATAGCACTGAATTCTGTGAACATGCTGGATGGGCACGTTTGCACGCTAATCCAGACGTGCTTTCACAGCCGTTCTATGACTCAGACGTTGAGGAGGAAGAGGAACTTGTTGCTGGGGACCGTGGTCCAGAGCAACAGAGTCCACCACAGGGACAGAGTCCAAGGCAGGGTCAGCTCAGGATCCCTCAGAGGGGGGAACCTAGAACCCCTCCTCAGGCAGTTGTCAAGTCTGAGCCAAAGAGTGAGCCTTCCTCACCTGCTGGACCAGCTGTAAGGCCCAAGAGGTGCAGCAGGTCAGAGGGGGAAGACACTGAAGTTGAGGATGATTTAGCTGGACCCAGTGAGACAGAAGGGACACCAGGGTTCACACTGAGGAGATCAGCGAAGTCCTATGGAGACTAGTTTTGTGAAGGACAGTCAGCAAGTAGAACACGCTGTGTTCGAAAATGCTGAA